TTTACCTAACACTATTAATTTTTAAAAAGTCAGGAAATGCAAAATGTAAGGTTTAACTAACCCATGTAGTGCAGTATTTTGGATGATTAGTTAGGTTAGTGTGAGTAGCAGGATGAGGACTGAGGATATCTGAGTTCATACTTCTGGGTCACATTACTTCTAACAACATTCTACCTTTGCTCCTTGAATTTCCCTTCTGAAAAAGTGTGTATTGATCTTTCTGGTCAAAATGTAATGTGAAAAGAGTTTCTGCATAATTCACTGAGAGAAATTTTACAATGAATTGAAATTTTAAGGGGGGGAGGTCAGATTACATGAAATGTAGAACAATTTCAGAATCTCACATTTTTTTCACCAGTTTTACTCAGCTCTAGTTAAGATTTTGTCTCAATTGCCCATATAAGACCTATCTTCACCAATGATGTTCATTAATCAAACCCATTTTGCATTTAACTCTTATTTTTAAAGTCCAAAAATATCGACATTTCTTTTTATTTAATCATCAGAATTCCCTCTTGTTTCCCCCTCTAACTTTGCACAATTTAATCACCTTATGACTCCTAGCAGTGCAATTTTGTATCTATTTGCTTAATTTTATTCTTCTTCTACTTTCTGTACATCAGTCACTCTAAGGAATGATTTTGGCCCTAAAGTTTAGCTCAAAATACCTTCTGATATAATGTTAATTATTGTAGACTGAGATTCACAACAATAACAATATTGATTTATGGTCTAATGAATTCTGCCAAATCTGTAAAAGATCAAAAGATGTGATTTTATTTATATATATATATATATACACACACACACACACACACAAATGATCATGAGAAATATGGAGAGGAAGAAACATTTCAAAACTTGATTGAAACTCAATGATTAAACTTGTATTTAAAATCATTAGTGGTATCCATTGCACCCTAGTTTAAATTGATTTAAGATTACATTTTTGATTACATCATACTATTTTCAACTATTACTATATTTTCTGTCATTCTTCCTGTTTGCTATAGCATCTGTGAAATTGGACAAATGCTGCTTTGCATTAGAAAATTTAGTAGAAATAAGGGTTTGTACCTCCATGTGAAACCTTTTCCTCTTTTCTATAGATCATAATTTCAGATAAGGGTACTTTTTTCTTTTCTCCTGTTTGCCCTTTCTTGTATTGATTCACAGTTGGTAGTTCTACTGAGTCTGCATCATGATACTTAAATTTGCAATAGGAATCCTTTTCTGTTAAGTGGAACTCTAATTTGGCTTCCAATTTCCAGAAAGCAATCTCTTCAAGTACAGTTCTATGACTTTGTCAACTTTTTCTGTTTGATAATGCACGATCTGCTTTCCTTTCAAAATATCTATCCTAAGGGGATTTTTTTGTACTTTGCTGAGATTCATTCAGTTCCTGCAAGCTATCCTGAATTTCCAAATCTTCAATTACAGAAACACCTTTCCAATGAATATTTAACATGAATCTATGTTGCTGTTGGTATGAGTGGAAATATTTTTCTATTTTGACTATATTTTTGTTGTTAAGAATCACTTTGGTCCCAAACCTGAAGCTGTTGTATGCCTAGTCCTTAAATACTCCCACTTCTGTGGGAATTTTAAGGGTACAAAAATGCAGGATTGGGCCTCTTTCACGTTCTACAGAAGAAAGTAAAATGTGATCATTTGTGGGGGAGAGTAAAATAGTGTCGCCAGTCAGGAAGAAGCTGATGGTAGAATATTGCTATATTTATTCCATTATTTTGTTAGTGTTCCCTTCTTCTGGGCTTTGAAATCAACTCTTATGATTTCATTCTGTATTTTGTTGTGAAATCTATCACTTGCTAAAAGTACAAGAAGGAATGATACCAAAAGAAATTAATTGTATTATATTTAGAAACTGGTGCACTGCACAACTTTTTTAGACTTGACTAAAGCTTTACATTATAATGTAGACTGATTTCCCCCCACTCTGAAATATTTTCTATTTTTCCCAAGCAATAAAACCATTTAAAAAAAATAGACCTATTACCCTATTTGGCAGCAAAGCCAATGGGAACGGACTGTAGGATTAGAAATCTCCAAAGTTTGGTTTGTGGGGTACTGTCTCTGGTTTCTGTTGGAGAGATGGTTGTCTTATGCATAGACCCTGCATATGAGATTGCACGCATCCCAGTGGATCAGTAGAAGCCCTGTGACTCCAAGCTGGCTCTGTCTTTAGTGTCCCAGCTCAGGGTTTCCTACCATGAGGGAGGGGGGAAGGGAGCTTCAGAAATGTATTACAGCTGTAAGCTGCATCCAACAGATGAATGTAGTGTTTCTCATCTCTATTTACCATTTCAAACAAGAAAGCCTTTTTGAACTGCACACCTGAGATCATGTCTGTACATTCTAGCAATGCAGGTCTGTTTTCATATGCTGTGTTCAAGAAACGATGCCTCTGAAAGGTCTAAAATGTAAATCTCCATCCAAAAAATAGCAAGTATAAAATATATTGGGCTAAATTCTCTTTTCGGTTGCAACAATCAGTTTCCAGTAACGTTACATCGGAATTACAACTATGTACAGAATACAGATTTTGGCTTTTAGGAGTTATAATCAAGTAGTTGTATCTGCTATTGGCAAGGATGTGTGTGGTCTCAGTTACTGCTACTCCAGTCGAGCCTTCATGAGGTGCCCAGGTGACGACCCCAGGCCTCTGCTGAGGTGGAAGGAAACCCCTCTATTGAGGAGACCGCAGGAGCGGCTTCTCGCCTCCCACAATCCTCTGCTGGGGCCGGAGATATCTCTGCCCCTTGACCAGCCCCCAGCATGCTTGAAAACAAGAAGCACCAGTGGGCTAGGGAGGGAGGCAGGCCGTAGAAACCTGATGCCCTGTCACAGGGCTCTATTGGGGTTGCCAGGTGGTGTTGGCGGGGGTGATCACTTTGCTGGGATGATTTGTGGGGCCTCTCCCTAAGCTTCCTGTTCCAAATCCTCCTTTCACCAGCTGCATGAAAACAAGGTGCGGCTCTCCTTTCCTAGCTCCCCGAAGAGATGCAGCCGCCGCCTGTGCGCCTGAAGGGAAGCGGAGACAGCGGGCTCCGACAGCCGCAGGTGTATGCTTGGGCTGATCTGTGAGGGCCTCCAGTGACGCGGACTGACCCAGCCCTGCTGCAGCCGCTGCGCGCCACGTGCATGCCTCCTGCCGCCCATGGAGAGAGGCTGCTGGCGCGCTGTGCCCGAAAGCCAGGGGCCCTAGGCACAGGCCAGTTGTGCCTGCTGGGTACCGCGGCTCTGCCTTGGAGAGCCGGCGAACTCCTCTCTGCGGTCACCTGTAGCTTGGTGCCGCTTTCTCTGCATCTCTCAGATAAACAACCACTGCCAGCCCCGCTTCCTCCCTGTTGCTGTCCTTAAGGGAACGATTAAGTGTCACAGAAGCGGGGGCGGTGTTGCGTTTTTCGGCTAAAGGCGGTATGTGTATTTGCTGCCGTCTCCCCCAGCCCCGCACCCTCGGAGAAGGCGGTGCGCGATGGAGTTTGCTGGAGAGTGGTGCTGAAGGGACAGCTCCCACGCCACCCTCCTTAGGGGAGGGGCTGCGCTTGAAAGACAAACCTGAGTTGCATTTTCACCTTCAAATTAGAGTCTCCCCAACCAGCCGCTCGGATTACAGCAGCCAGCACCCAGTCCCTTAGGTGCTCTGACCAGCCATCCATGGTTTTGCTTTCTCTCTGTGATGGTTACTCTTCATTCCGATGTTGAAAGATTGCATGTATCGTGCAAAATGAGGGAAGCGAGATCTACCAGCAGGCGGTGGGGGCTGCTTTTATTCCTTTCGCAGTTCAGCACCAAGGATGGTGGAATAGCCACCTGAACATGGGGAGAAAAACAACAAGTAGTTCTCGCCTGACAGAGACACACACAGGTTGGCTGAGGATCCGCCAACAGCTGCAAAGAAAACAGCGTCTGGTATATGAAGAGGAGCCTCTCTCTCTCTCCTCATTAAGGTATTTGAGAAGCCGGAGGGTAGGGGGGATACCGTGGGAAAATCCACGCCAACCTGGCTGTGATTCCGTCTGGTCTTCCTAAATATGAATGTATGGGTAAAATCCGTGGGGGGGTTAGTGCTTTGAGAAAGTAGCAGCCAGAGCTACACGCTAACGGCTCCTATAAGGGTGTGCCTGCTGCCTGAGCTGTTTTGAGGTTTGGTTTTTCTTCCTAGAGACCAAACCTTCTCTTCTAAGTCCCTAATATAATAAAAGATGGACAAATAGCAAATAATTTAACCGCTTGCTTTTATTCAGAGAGCTTGATCCAAGAAGCCCAGAAACAGAGAGGAAAAAGGGGTGGGGAAGGTGACTGATCCGTTTCAAGGAGAAGCAGGGTTGTTTGGTTTCCCTCTGCTTTCTCTCTGTCTATATTGGGGGAAGGAAGAGGTGCAGGGGAAGAGTCCAGATCACTGAGGGGGGGAAAAGCCGTCTGAAAGCAGGGGAGGCAAAGACTGGTTTGTAGAAGGGGGTGTGGGAGCAGCAGTGCTTTGAATTCGTCAAGGATACAGCGAAAGGACTACCAGGTTTCTTTCAGGGTCGTTTGCAAACCAACTTTCCAGTCGCTGGTGCGAAGAGAAGCTCTAACAGCTACTATTGTACGAAAGCGAGGAGAGGAATAGTGGGAAAACGAGGCGGAGACCCTGGGATGTCAGGGGAAGGCAGGTCCTATTGGAGGGGGATTTGGGAAGATAGAAAAGGCAGTTCTGGAGATTTGGCTCATAGTGGTGGAGGGAAAGGCGGCAAGTTGGGGAAGAGAGGAAGGGTCGACCTAGGTGGTGGGCACAGGAGATGGGAGGAGGGTAAAGAGCAGGGAAGATGTGGGCTGCAGTGGGGCATTTTCGTGTAAGGGGGTAGGAGGTAGAAAGTGACCTCAAGAGAATCAGGCTCCCTATCACCCCTCCCATTTCCCATCTTCCTCCAGTCCCTGCTGGTCTCCCGCTGACGGGTCTGTCTGTCTGTCCCCCCAGTCATGTCTGACCCAGAGAGATGGGCAAGCTCGAGGATAACGAGAGGGTGATCCTCAACGTGGGGGGCACCCGGCACGAGACCTACCGGAGCACGCTGAAGACCCTGCCGGGGACCCGGCTGGCCCTGCTCGCCTGCGAGTCCCAGAGCGAGTCGTCGGGCGGGGAAGAGCAGCCGCCGCCGCCGGCTCCCCCGCCCCCGCCTCCCCCCAACCTGCCCCCGCAGGTGCCGGGCGGCTGCCCGGAGGCCAGCAGCGGCGGCAGCCCCCGGACCAGCGGCGGCCCCAGCGAGTTCTTCTTCGACCGGCACCCGGGGGTCTTCGCCTATGTGCTCAACTACTACCGCACGGGCAAGCTGCACTGCCCGGCCGACGTGTGCGGGCCGCTCTTCGAGGAGGAGCTCGCCTTCTGGGGCATCGACGAGACCGACGTGGAGCCCTGCTGCTGGATGACCTACCGCCAGCACCGCGACGCCGAGGAGGCGCTCGACATCTTCGAGACCCCCGACCTCATCAACGGCGAGCCGCCCCTCGACGGCGACGACGACGACCTGGCCGCCAAGAGGCTGGGCATCGAGGACGTGGGGGCGGCGGCCGGGCCCCCCGACGGCGTGGGCGGGCGCTGGAGACGGCTGCAGCCCCGGGTGTGGGCGCTCTTCGAGGACCCCTACTCCTCCCGGGCCGCCAGGGTGAGAGCGCGACCCCGGCCCCGCGCAGGCGCTGAGTCCGGGGGCCTGCCTCAGCCCCTGAGCCCCGGGGGGCGTGGGGACGTGACCCTGCCTCAGCTCCTTCCCCCCGGGGGGGTGACCTGACTCAGCCCCTCCCCCCGTGTGTTGGGGAGAGTTGCCAATTTTGGTGGGATGGATTCCTGGAGGTTTCAGCACCTGACATAATCTTTAATTCAAGATTAATCTTTAATTCCTGGAGACTCCAGGCCAATCCTGGAGGGACCGAATCAGCCCTTAGTCCCCCTAAGTCAGCCCTTGGTCCTCTAGGGTGTTTGTGTATGTGGAGGAGGGGTGACCCTTGCTCAGTTTCTCGTCTCCCTGGGGGTGTGTGGGGGGACCCTGGTTCAGGCCCTGGGGTGGGGTGTGAATGTGTGGACCCTAACTCAGTGCCTGGTCCTCTGGGATAAAGGGTGTATCTGGGGGGGGGGCAACCCTGCCTCAGTCACTGGTCTCCTGAGGTGTGTATGTGTGTAAGGGGGTACTCCTGCCTCAGTCACTGGACCCCTGAGAGGTTTTGTGCATGGGGGTACCACTGACTTCTGGTGTGTGAGTTGGGGTGTATGTGACCCTAAATCTGTCCCAGGTCCCCTAGAGGGATTGGTGTGGGGATGAGTTGACCAAAGGCTGTATATAGATACCCACAAGAGTAGCAGGATCTGGACCCTGCTAGAGAGTGACTCTGACTCACCCTGCTCAGGTTTTGATTTTGTGGGTGACACTGTGTTAATAGTGAAGTGAGGGTGACTTGCTCCCTGTGATTTGTGAGGGTGTCCTTAGTTCTCTCCTTGCTTTGGTGTCTGGATCAGAGGGTGAACATAGTTTAACGTGTGTGTGACAGAGGGTGATCCTGATTCACTCTAGTCCTTGGATTAGTCCTTGATTTCTGAGGGTGACCCTTACTCATTCTGTGATCCAGGACATAATTCTGAGGCAGTAAGTGATTTTACTAAATTATCTTGATTTAGACTGGAAGTTAGGATTTTACCACAGATTATTTTCTGTTTTTGAGTGAGACCCTGATTTTAGTCTCATATTTTTGTTTCTTATTCAATCACCATGTGGATTCACTGTCTGACCTGTGGCTTTGGGCCTAATTAAGTCTCTGGAGTTCCTTCTGGTAAGGAAATCAGGTGAAGAAGAAAAAGAAATGGAGGTTTTCCCAGGTTTAATTTTTTTTAACCCCCCCTTCCACAACAACCTTCCCCAAACAATTTCTTCCTTTTGTGTTTGTTGTAACTACAAGTGGTTTTGCTTTATGCAAGTGGAATACGTGTTTTGCAACATATGTATCAGGATTTCTTCTGAAGGGTTCAAACTTGGGCCTCATTCTGCAAATACTTACAACTATGTTTAACTTAACCATGGGAGTAGTCCTATTGACTTCAATAGGATTACTCACCTTTGTAAAATGAAGCATGTGGTTAAATATGTTGCTGAATCATATTTTAGGGCCTGATCCAGCTCCCATTGAAGTTAATGGGTTAATGCCTACTGACTCAAATGGGGGTAGGATTGGGTCTTTAGTGAGAGGAGAAACTATCCAGGCTGGAGGTGCATTTCTTCCAGCTGCTCTGAGGCTCCCCAGTCACTCCTGTTCTTCACTGATTGGTAGCATTCCCAAGGAATCAAAGCTTGTGCAGCAGTTCGCTTTGTCTGTGCCACTGGCTTCAGATAATACTGAAATAAAATATAATAGAGGATTAATGATAATGGAATAAATTCCTATTGTTGCTTACTAATGGGACATACACACACACATTTATAATATTTCAGCAATATTATTTAAAAAGTAGAATGTGCTCTAGATGTCAGACTAATACCCGTCTTCATCAAAATGCTATTGGAAAACATCTTCAGAATATTCATTACCTACATTTTCCTTTTAACTGTGTATTGAATCTATAGTGGGTTTGTTTGTTTTTTTTGGAGACTTTCCAACATTCTTTGCCAGAGAGCTGACAAATATGAAGTAAAGGTTAAATGGAAGACACCAAGAGAAACGTGGAAAGGCAAATGCTGGCTATAATTGAGTCATAGTACCATAGTTCCTTCACATGTTTTTGATCCGCTTGAATTCTTCAATAATATCTTTCAATGCTGAGGACCAGAACACTTTATCATTAGTTGTTTGGTTGATATTAGTGGATTTGTCAAGTCTTAAAAATGAACTGTGTATTTATATTGTAACATAACATTATAATCTGCTAATATTAATGTTATAGAAGTGACTGCATTTACTTCTCAGTAGATTTAACTCTTGATTTCTAGTTTTGAACTCTTGATTTCTGATTGGCTGACTAATACTGAAGTGAATAAGCCCATAGCTAGAGCTATAACTACATTGCCTAAATTCAGTGTTTTGCTTTTCCTCAAGGCTGTTACTGTTTATGGTGACCTTTCTGCTAAGAAGGCCACTTTGTGAATTGCTAGTGGCTTTCAGAGAAGAAAATAATTTTGTGTCTAAGTGCTAGTGAACACCTAATGAACAATTTCACTTAATCACCTCCCTGCCACTTTGGGGACCTCAGGCACTGGTACACCTTGGCCCCGTATATTCTCTGTCTGTGGTTCATAATAGTCTAGTCTCCTGTGGGTTGTAATATTTTGATCTAATTTCTGTTATTGGGTTTAGTATGTGAGTGCTGAGTGGTATTGATGGCCTGTGATATATAGGAGATCAGACTAGATGATCTATTGATTCTTTTTGGTCTTAAATGATGATTCTCTAGGTACATCAAGATTGAAAACAAAACAACAAAAACCACAACATTCATGGCAGTGAGTCTCAGAGCTTGGGTGAACTAAGGCTATTGTTCACAGGACTAGTGCTATGGGCTAAAAATAGTAATGTAGAGGTTCCCACTTGGGCTGGAGCCTGGGCTTTGAAACTCAGTGAGGGGAGAAGGTATCAGAGTCCAAGCAGGTACATCTACCCTGTAATGTGAGTCCCACGAGCCTGAGTCAGTTGATCTGGGCTCAGAGACTGACTGACGCTTTTTTCCCCCCTTTGGCAATGTAGACATAGTGTAAGACTCTAAGTGATGGCAACCTTACTCTGGAATTGAAATGCTATTGCCAATTTAGACACCATCTTTCCAGAAAGAAAGATAGCTTTCTGACGCTTCTGATAAATGCAATAATAGTTTGTGTAAACTCAAATAAATGATGTGTAAATCTATAAACATTTTAGGTGCAATCCTGGCTCCACTGAAGTCAGTTGCAAAACTCCCATTGACTTCAGTGAGGCCAGGATTTCACACTTTGCATTGTAGTCTATCTTATTGACTCATGAACCACTTATCTCAGATTATAGAGATACTTAGTGTTAAACGTTCATAATCACTATTATTTTTTAGGATTATTGTTCTATGTAATTTGAGCGATTTCAATTTTCTGAAATATGACAAAGAAGAAAACTGGCATTTTATTTATTTTGATTAACAGGATAGCACTTAATATTTATGATTTGTAATTTCTAAACTGTGATCTCTAAAAATAGAAATTTATAGAAATTCAAATATAAGTTGTCATGGTAACCTGTTGTGGTGTGTATGAGAGATTCTAGCAAGACTATCAAATGATGTTATATAAATAGTGGAAGTAACTAGTTTGTTGATGAAAGATGCATTTGTTTCTATGATTCTAAAAATCTTCAACTTTAATCATATTCAGATGGTAACTGAGATTTATTACCTGTTTTTTCCAATATTCTGTTAAATGGCCTAAGAATGAGAAAGTATTGATATATTAACTGATGTTCCTTAAGAACTCACGTGTCCAAAATGGTGGTGGTGGGGCTTTGATTTTGTTTCGGGTTTTTAAAGAGATATATTAGTAAAACAAAGATAAGACCCAGGTATGTTGCAAGGTAGAGCATGATCAGTATAATTTCTGCCACTATATAGATATAAAATGTGATATACACATGTGATATCTTTTAAATGGGATTACATAGAATAATTTCTTTCAAAATTTCCAGATCTATGCAACTTTTCCTACTGTGGTTCTCTTTTTGAACATTTTTCTTTCACTCCAGACATAAGTAATAGAGAAATCATTCACAAAACAGCATTTTGCAAAATACTGTTATGCACATATAAGAAGACACTATGCTAAGACACTAGCATAGAAGGGACCAGTCATTTAACATTTCTGTGTCTTTGTTTTCCCATCTGTGAGATAGGTATTATCCCTCTCAAGTGTATTATGAGACTTAATTAATTCATATTTGTAAATCACTCTGACATCCTTAGGAGGCAATTGCTATTGTAAAGTATTAATTGCAGTCAAGAAGAGCAAATTGCAAAGATGAATCTGAAAAATTTATAAGGAAATATTTGAGTCAAAATTAAGTGCTGGGTGTGAAGGAGTTCAAACAGAACCAGCCTTTGGGATCCAGGAAGCTTTTAGTTATCGGACACTCCCAGCTCCAACAGGGACTTACAAATGCCAGAGCTAGTTTCAGATTTCATGTTTAAAACAAAGTAAATTTTCTAGTCCATTTTCTTTTGAAATATAATCTTGAATATGTGATGCAATGTAAACAGATCATTAGGGCTTTTTATTTATTTTTCAGAAACATCCTGGGTTATCCATAATCCCCACTATGGGCTTTCAGATCTGGCCTTAGGGTCTATAAAAACTGTGGCCACATGCCCCGCATTTTTTGAGAAGACCGTAAGTTCATTCACCACTGTGGGGACAGTGTCTGCAAAATGGGGTAGTTGAACAATGTGACAATCAGCATGGGCTATTTCACTAAATATGGTACTTCATGTAAGGCCCTTTACATTCTAATCCTAACCTTCTGTAGCTGTAGTCAAGTCACATAACCCGTAGTTTCCTTACCTCTAAAATAGAGACAATAATATTTGCCTGCTTCGCAGTGGGGAGGGTTATGACAGCTAATTAGGTAACGTTTATGAAGTGCTAATATTCATTGATATGCAAAAACTTCTGAG